CCATATTTCATAAATTGTAAAGGTGAAATATGGCCTATGAACATTAAAATTTATATCTCTGAAAATCTCATAAATATTCATTTTTTTCATCCAGATGTATACTTTAACTACATACATTATAAAAACGTGTTTTATAGAAAGATTTAGAGAATATCCATTATCAATAAAATACATGTAAGTGTTAATGCTTTTTTGAAATTTTCTTTTTATCCAAAAAAAATGCATTGTGACTTTACTTTAAATTCACAAATATGCAAAAGAACTACAAACTCTAACTCTTGATTCCCGCCTACATTTTGCACCCATTTAATTCAATATTAATGGCAATTTGGCCATTAAATCTTTGTTTAAAAAAAGAACAGTTCTATAGTAATCGACTAATCATTTTAATTCCAGCGCTAGATAATAAATTATCATTAATACTAGATCTGGAAAAAGGGGGGTAGACGATATTTTCAAGTGAAATCGAACTTTCAAGAATCACCATAATTTGAAATAGTCTCAAATATGATAAATTGTATCTAATGTCTTTTTTTATGTTTTATGCAAATAAATAAAACCTTTATAAATTAATAAAATACAATTATTTAGTTATGAATAGCTTTAGAATTGGTGAAAAATCAGCATTTGTTTTTTTTTTGTCTAGAAACATATGTCCCCCACCCCACCCCCCCCCCCCCCCCCGTGAAACACAAAAAGCTTTGGCATAAATTTGTAAAATGACTGTCCATATTACCTGTAAAAAGGAACTTTTGTTTCACGGGGGAAAAGCTGTTTAAAAAATATTTTCCGTTTTCCGTTGATTTCTATAGTGAAAACACAAGTTTTACCAAAATTATAGAGTTATCTCTCTTTGGTATCCCAAATAAGTAACGTTTTATGAAAATTCATTTTAATAATTATCTATAAAATTTCGAAAATCATTCGAATATGTTAACTTTTGAGAATTGACTTAGAGGTAGGAGGGAGAACAATACTATTGTTCGTAGTTCTTTTCATGGATGAATAAAAAAAATTTCTAAAGAAGATAGTCAGCTTTAAAACAAATACGAGGGGTTATATTCGTGACTGGCGCCATAAAATTAAAACTGCTTTAGGTACATCAATGAATTTTAAAATATCTGGTTAGCATCATCTTTTCTATCTATAGAATAAACCGCAGATCATAAATTTTATTTTTAGATAAATAAGTGATGCTTTTGTAAGCTATGGTATGTCCAAGCGGCGCAACCTCGAATATGGCGTTTTTTCGACCGAAGCATAACTAAGAAACACTCCTTTCATATGAACATTTGACATCCAAAAATCTGATAAATTCATATATGGTGGGATAATTGCTTCATAAAATATGAAGTTTTCAATTATTCTGAATGTTTATCGTTAATTTGACATGGAGTGTCTAAACAAATAAGTCCTTGAAAATGACGTCAAAAGGGGGAGGGGTTTCACAAAATAAAGTTTTGGCCCTGAAAAAAGTGGTATAGACCTAAATGTTTAAACTCGCTATGGAGAAAATAAATGTATCCAGATTACTTTTTTTTTCAATGCAAAAGAGGTTCTGAGAGAAAAGGGATGCACAGTTAATGTCGAGTCCGAGTCAAGGTGTGAAAAATCATTCACGTCAAAAAGTGACGTTGATCTATGTTGCAGATATTAAACTCCCAAAAGCAAAATATGCTGACACAATCGAGTATTTAACTAATATTATATGCATTTAAAGCCGCTGTTCCTGACATTTTAAAGTCATAAAAACAAGACGGGTTTAAGTCCTTACTCAACTCCAGGGAATCTCATCAAATTAAGTGTATGAGGTAGACGAAGCGGACATGAAAACAATATTGTATTCGGCGACGGCGCCGGGTAACCATATAAGATGAAGATATACATGTACACAAAGTAAAGCGTGCATTACCTCCAAAGCATCGAATCCCAACAGGCTTTACAGCTAGGTTACACTTAAATGCAGGCGCCATGGTTATGTTACAGTCTTTCATAGAAGTCTCTGTACCGTCACATGAAGCCTCAGCTATTTCGTAATCTGGCAGATTAGTTTTGTGAATAAATGCGGAGTAATATGAACCGGTATGTACCCTAAAAGTAAAAACAAACGTCACTCAGATAATCGGAGATTACAATTGTGTCTTAGAGATAACACTTTTAAGTTAAATAAGACTAAAACTGAGCATTAAATGTTTTCAAACGGAAGCTTTCTGTAATAAGGAACAAAATGCGTTTAAAGAAAAAAAAATCCTCATTATCTTCGAGTTCGAAGATACAGATTTAATTTATATAACCTTGAAATCGATCAAAATGAATCTCTTTTCGATCTTAAAATAAATATTCTTAAAGAGTATTTAACTAAAATGCTTGCCTTTTCTCCAAACCAATTGTACTCATTATGATGCAAGAAGTTGAGATATATATATTTTAGCGAATTTTGAAATCTAAAATTTTTTTCATATTTATTTTCATTGCCTAACGTTGACGTCTTTTAAAGTTGTTTTAATATATGAAGTATATGGAGATAATAAAAAGAAATTTGAGGTAAAAAGTCAAAATATGCAGATGCAAATATAAAGCGGAATCTTCAAAACCTTTCAAAGGTGGGATCATGTAGTTATCACAGGGGTTACATACCAAACCCGTGACGTCATTACTGTTGATCATGCAGTAGCAGAGTGAAAGTGAAATGTAACGAGAATTGATGTAAACAAACACAATAAATCGGAGTTTGAAAAAAGTCAGTATAAAAAATTATATTGTATTTTTTGAATATCATGTGTGATTCCACTGAACTAAAACTATGAATAAGGCATTAATGTTATAAAAATATTTCCTGTATTATCAACAGTAAAGTCTTTTAATAAAAGATGAAGATATAAACAACGTAAAGCGTGCATTACCTCCTAAGCATTGAATCAAAAAAGCAAAAGTTACACTACGCAGGCATATCGTTATGTTACATTTTTGTCATAGAAGTCTCTGTACCGTCTTTTGAAGCCTGGAAAGTGCATCTATTTTGTAATCTGGCAGATTTTTTTGTGAATAAATTGGACAAATTTGGGGAAGGTATGTACCGAAATTGTAAATAATTATTTCTATAATAGGACAGAGATTACAGCTTACTTTTCAACAACTGGTGTCTTTAAATAAAGCAAAGTCCCACATTAAACTAATAATCATGGAGTTAACATCCCATGATGCAAAATTTATGTTATTTTGATCTGTTGGGACTTGCAGTTACTTGGAAATAGACGTATCCAAAAAAAATTAATTAGTCATCTATTAAGAAAATGTTATTCCAATCTTTTATCTGAAGCAAAGTTGAGAGTGTTATCCAGAATTTGCATAATTACAGCAAAAGTTTTATCCTTGACTTTTCCTATTTTTTTAACTGCTCCTATCGATGAACCAGTACATTGATGGAGAAATCTAGCCTTGTAGTCCTCCTCCATTTTGCCTTAACAATACCGCGTTCAAGTTTATTTATCATAGGGCGCATAAATCCTTGGGAATGAGACACAACTTTTAACTGCCCCTAAAATGTTAAACTGGTTATTCCTTTACTGAAATTGCAGCGTTTTAAACCTACTGGTACAATGAAACACACTAGAACCATCTTCCATGCATATCTGATCAATGTAGGAAAAACAGGTACTTAAAAATAAACTTGCACCAAAACCCTTAATCTGGGACGCCGACGCCGAGGGTATAACAAAACCCTCCCCAACTTCGTTGAGATGAGCTAAAAACAATATAATCTTACAAATTTAGAAATAATTAAAGTTGTCTGCGTCAACTGCCTGCATCTCCGTCCTGATTACATTTTATTCGTTATATCACATCAATTAACTCAAATGAATGCACATACCTTGAAAAAGGGGAAATATAACAGTGATCGATCACATAAAAATTACAATAATCCAAATCTGTTAACTGAACAAAAATACAGACCCAATCTGTTAACTGAACATAAATACAGACCCAGGTAACTAAAAAAAATTTATATCTATTATAGAGAATCTAGAGTCCATTTAATATAAACATGATAAATGTAAACTTACACTGGTAGTCCAAGCTGTCTGCAGATAACGTTGAGTACGCTGAAAACATTATTCCCTGAAGGATTAGAGTACCATAGACACAAGGGATTCCAGGTCCCATTACTGTAAAACTCCACCTCTCCTTTATCCACAGCGGACCTATCCATAAACCGCAGGCCAAAATCTGCAAAACAAAAACAGGAATAGTGAGTAGCAGGTACGTCCTTCCCCCACACTCCGGATTGTTTAACATTAAAGACAGATGATATAAGCAAACTTTTGTCATAAGAATTTTGAAAATGACGACTTCTCATGTTTTAATGAGCAAAATAAACGTTTTATTGGGTAGTTTTTAATTTTTCAATAAATCTTTCAGAATAATTGAATTAAAAATGAAACATAATTGTTTCTCTGATGTTTTGGAGGTCCTTATTTGTTCTGTTTGTTTTTTGTATTGTTTGATGGATTTTTGAGCTTAATGTTATCTTCATATAAATACACTATGGATGGTAGCAGAAAAGTAGAAATTGAACATCAAAGAAGAAGGCTTACAATTCCTAGATATATAAGGTTTTTTGATTTGTATCAGTTACGACAAAAATAGGCCTGGGAATATATGCCTATCCAAGCATCCATTATTTTGTATGTATCACCTGTCCTTATAGCATTGTTACTTTTTATGTCACTCACCTTTACATTTATTCCGGGGTGTTGCTGATACCCCCTTTTTACAAAGACATATTGGTTTTCCATTGTCCAAATGACAAATGGAGGTTTTGGAATCACATGTGTGCTTTCCAGTCAGACAGTCACATGTTTCTCCAGAAAACCCGGCTTTGCACGTGCATTTTCCTGTATCACTATCGCATTTCTCAGTGTTGTTCTGATTACAAAAGCATGGAAGGCAGTCGTTACCATAGCGCCATGTCGGACATTCTTAAAGACAAGAGACAAAAGAATATAAAAGTTGCTGTTCTTCAAAAAGAACAGTATGGATGTATTTCTTACATATATCATCTGAATACAAACTGTGTGGCAAAGAAACAAATTTATTGAAAATAGCTCTCATTTTCACTGATAGCATGTAATTTTTTTCATTATATTTAAAGTAATTGTCTTAAACTGTAATGATGTACTTAGAAAATAAATAAAGCTAATTAATAGTTGTACTTCTTCGCCTTTTATCAGAAACGAAGAAGAATTAATCAAAGAATGTAACCCTGCCTTAAGGTACATTGATACTCTGATAAGAGATGACTTATCAGTGTAAGTAATGCAAATCATAAAGTACGCCTTTTTTCAAATTTTCTGCTAAATTGTTTGTATATTTATCCCTTTGGAACAACAATATTCTTGCAAGCTGTGTTTAACCCCTTACATGGTACATACACATTTCTAAGCCTCCAGTGTGAAAAACATGTATAGTGTAAACAAATATTCATAATTTTATTAAAACTGCAGAAATCTAAGACTTCAAGTTCATTGGGATTGATCTGTTCCAAATACTTTAACCTGGTCACTCATCTGGAAAATGTAGGTCAGATCCAGAATACGAAACAAGTCTGGTAGTGTCCATCCCTAGATGCATCATGTATGCAAGTTTGGTTCAGGTATGGCTTATAGTTACTTGTAAATAGACTTGCTTCTAAAACTTGAACCTGGGACGCCGACGCCAACGCTTTTCGACTTCGTCGAAGCTAAAAAAAAGCAATATGAGTGCTTTTAAACCAATGGAACCCTGCCTTAACATCGGGAAGATGATCCCACCTCTGATGTTTTGGTGGTCCGTGTTTGCTCTACTCCTATTTTATTTGTTTTAAGGACTTTTGAGCTTGAATACTGTTCGGTATCTCCATATATTTCAACATTAACCTTGCTCAATGAACTTAAAATTTCACAACTACGATAGAGATACTCAGTGATTTAATTCTTTACATTTCATTTGTTTGGTAAATTCTTATAAGTAAGTACTATATATATAGTTTACTTTAATTAACTTTAGTAAAGCGATTTTTACAATGAATTTCAGATAGATCTATTTTATTTTTCAAACTTCCTTCAAGTACTTTTTTAAATTAAGGCAAACTTTTTCTTAAATATTTACATATTTTATTTTTGAAATTATGTTATTTACAATATAATGATGCACTTAATCTTTTAAAAAGTTCTAATATAAGGTTTCATGTAGTAAATTAAAGTGTCAAAGTATTCACTAAGGTAAGCAATATTTAACTGTAGTAAATGTTGGATAGGGAAAGAGTGGAGAACATTTTCAAAGACATAACGCATTTTCACAATATACTAGTAATCGATGAATTCCCGTCCTAAAACGAATTCCCTCTGATGCAAAAAGAGGATTTTATATAAAAATTTGGGGGACATTTTGAAAAAATAAAAAAAAACAATATGTAGTTCTTACTAAAACTATACAGAGAAGGTTTCTAACAAAAACAAGTCGTTTTTTCTGGTGTAAGTCATATCAACAGAGACAACGTCAATTGTTTCAGTCTCTTTTGCAATTTCTGTCATTCAAGCCTAAAAGTGACGGTTTCCTCTTTTGCAATAATTGCTCTTCTACCCTTTATGAGTTTTCATTGTGGCTACGGACTGATCTATTATCATTTTTCCGTTAAAATGTGGTTGGCATTGTTTGATTTGAATGAAAAAAATTGTTGTTTCATATTTCTGGTGTACTAAAGTGGCATTTGAAAACATATTTCATTTCCGAAACGCAATACATTAACCAACAATCATTAATTATATGAGTATATAGGCACTGGCATTATATCAATAACTAACACATATACCAGGGGTATTTGTACGTTAAAAATCACAGGCCTTATGGCAACTAAATTAAACACAACCAAGTAAAGTTTGCATAAAGACTCATAGATATATTTCTGTTATTATATAAGATGAATTTAAAGTATAAGCAAAATGCGAGAGGATTTTACATATAATGGTCCACTACTTCTGCTTAACATTGTGTATATATCGCATAAGTAGAAAAACACTTAGATATACCACTTCAGCCACTTCAGATTTTTAGTTAATCTTATCCTATACTTATCAGCTACACAAACGGGGAAACAAAAGTGTAGTTCTCATCGTCCGCGTGGCGCAGTTGTTAGAGGGTCTACTCTAGAGTCGCGGAGTAAGTAGTTGAAACTTGCGTCGCGAGTTATATATATATTCATAAAATGTTGGCATTATGTTGATGTACATTTAGGGATGCCTGCTTTCAGACTTGATTCAGATGCTGGATCTAGGGAAATTTTCCAGATAATGGTGAAATTTCATTCCCAAGTTAGTATTCACCCCTTTGGTAACCAAATTTGCATGATATACATTTAGGGATGAACAACTACCAAACATACTTCAGATGCTGGATATAACTTACAATATTGGGCCCTTTATTTTATTTCAAAATAACTATGATCCCCGTGGTGATAAAACTGGTATCCCTGATGCATCTGTGATTGCACACTACCATATACTAGTAAGCTTTAGATGCTGGATCTGACCTACAAATTCTGAATAACTAGCGAATCAGATTTAAGCTTTTGAAGCACCATGTTTCGCTACCAAAGGGATAATTGTAATTCAAAATAAACTTGCTTTTTATACTTTAATCGGAATACCAGCGCCTACGCAAACGTTGAGGTATAGAATAATCCTAGCTGCATAACTGTAGCTAACCAAAAATATATATTAACAGACCGGAGATTAACAGTGCCATCCATTGAAAAAATGGATATTTATTGCGCATAAAAAGTTGCGCTTGGTTCAGGATTAACTCTTCCAACGTGATCGAGAGGCCCGGGTTCGATTCTCGTTCTCGGCGCCGCGTCATACCTTAGACGTAAAGATAGGTAGTGATTGTTCCTTCGCCAAGTGCTCGGCACTAGAAGTAAAAGTCACGGGTCTTTTGAATGTGACCTTAAAAAAGTATATATTTAGACGATTTTCGATGTTCTCATTTCAGGGCAAGGAGCGTTACTAACACCAGTTATAAGGAATACTTTGTTGTCAAAACAGTGAAAGAATGTTATATTATTAGGGACATACGGTCAGTAATATTTTGGTAGGACAGTTTCAAAAACACGGAAAAATAAATCGAAAAACAGCGCACCAACTATTTGGTGTGCATTAAATGTACATGTATAGGTTTCTTTTTCAATGGGTGGAACTGTAACTTACATGTCAGTATATTTTTCGGAGAGCTACAGTTCGATCTGCTGTTAAGAATAAGCCCATCTAGACGTAATGGACTTAATAATAGAGAACAACTTGACCATTAAGCTGGCCCATGAACCACATGCATGAAAGAGTGTATTTACTCACGTGATCCACAAATGACTGCAAAACGAGGCAGATTGCCACAGCTCCCTAAAGGAATATCTTTGTCAAAATGATAAGGACATTTATGTACAGCTGTTTCATTTCCAAGACAATGATAATTCCAATGCTGTATGGATTTAGACTCCTCGGGAATATCTTGGATGGATCGAAATTCTGCTACACATCGAGTTCTGAATAAATAACAAACACAGTATTGGGAGTATGCTCATCTCAGTATTTTCATAACAAACAGGAATATAATTTCAACAAGCTGTTTCATCATTTCGACAGACGTTTGTCTGTCTGGATTTTTTTTAAATTAAATAAAATTTATAGTTAGTTTTCTTCATTTAATTGTTATCAAACAAGGAATAAATAAGCTATATATTTCAAACTTTTGTCAGGGTTTATTCCAAGATAGAGTCAGCATTTTCATCTTTAAAGCAAAAGCTCAAAGTGGATTAAAGTGTCAAATATATGAATTTCTGACCTTTATCTTTGACACCGTGCTACGACGGGTTTTGTGTAAGTCATAGGGAGTTGTAATTATCTAAATTTGTCATCGCAAAATCTCAAACAGAAAATTCAGAACTTATCTAAAACTATGTTATTCCATTTTCTGACCTTCACAACGAAGAAATAGGAATCCTTTTTTACTATATAAACTTTTCTTTTATAGAAAAAAAAATCACCAAATATGGTAAGATACATGCATTTGTCTTTTAATTAGTGAAAAGATATATTTTGCTATAGTTTGATGGACAAAAGCAACTCACGATGGTTGTCCTACTTGTCTGCAAACAACACGTGCGTTCTCGACTGTCTACCAGTATGGACACATATTGTATGCCATTTCTGGTTGTAATGGGCTTCCACAATATAACTTCCATCCTCGGACTCAAAGTTCGTGAGTCGAATCAGATCGAAACCTTAAAGAATTCAACAATGTGCTTCACTGCAACATGGATTTTTTTTTATTTGAAACATGAACATGCATGCCCTATGTAATGCATTCATGGCTCTAGTACATCATATGGAACATCCAGTTGTTAATTAAATTCTGTAAGTATTAATTAAAACTATAAAATTCTTTAATTTTCAACGAAGCATTAATAATTACCCTCCAATAACAGTATCATTATCCGGTTGTCTTTCTGTGCCCGTTTTGTTCTGACTATTAAAAAATGCTGCAATTCTTTTGTTTCATACGATTGCGGACGAAGCAATATTTATCACCATAACCGGTGCAAAGTACGATGTGAAAGATTTTGGGACCATTCAATAGTGATGGACAAACACTCTTTTTGTAAGTGAGAGAACACTTTCTATTCAAAATGATATATGAATGGTAATTTTACTAATACATGAATATCATCCTGACATAAACCCACACTGAAAACCTGTCCTAAAATGTAAAACCTTCTTCTTCCTATCCTCACATTTCCAGATTGTTTTGAAATTCAATATTATCATTTAAAATTTCAGAAACACAAGCTACTCCAAGTAAAGCAATGCCAAAATCATTATATATCATTGAAAAGAAAGCAAAGGTAAAGAACTTTATTAGGTAATTACCAATATTTGCCCCCCCCCCCCCAAAAAAAAAAATCAAACTTTGACTGAGAAAAATTTCATTACGTTCATAAATAGGGGTATATATGCTGACTTCAAAGCAGTGAATATTTTCATAAGCAATGACGTCATATGTTTTAAAT